GGAAACTTAATCTGCCACAATGGTGCCCTGCTGTTGCTCCTGCAGGATGTTGCTCTGTTTATCAGTTCATCATTAGATAGTGCACTGCTCAGGGCAGCTTTCAGTTTGGTATTGCTGATACGAATATTTGGCAGGGTTAGCCTTTGTGGTAGGATTTGAGGAATTTAAAAAGGCTCCTGGCCCAAATATATCTCCCTCAATGTTCACAGTGCCTGAAATGCACACAAGAAACATTTCACTTGAATTTTCTTTCTTTGATATAAAGCAATGTTAAATTGTGAATGCCACTCTCCAGAGAGAAGACACTGAATCATTATCAGCTATTAATATTTAGAGTCGGAACTACATTGGAATTCTGCTTCTGTTCCTAGCTATGAGCTTAGGCAGGTTGCTAATTCTCCCTGAGCCTGTTTTCTATTCTGCAAAAAAAAATGTAGTTAATAATAGATGGCTGTGAGGAATAAATGAATAAGGATGTAAAGCACATAGTAAATGCTCAATGAACAGCAGCTGGTATTACCCATATGGAGAAGGGCCCTGAGGGAATATATGTGGAACTAGTACATTTGGTTTGTCAAGAACCAAGTGAAGTCTGGTACAGGAGCAGGGCTCAGAGAAAAGGCTTTGGTGGACTGAGGATACAGCTAGAGAGTAGGATGCAAACTCTGATGGTCTGGAGTTGGAAGGAGGAAGAGAATGGTCGGAAGCAAGGTCAAACTACATACACATGAACATTCTGATAGGCAAATTGTAGTCCTCCTATTCAGAGTGTGATGCTTCGTGAGGTAGTGAGCTTTTACACTGGAAGCATTCAAGCAGAGGCTAGATGCTAACTACCTATCAAGAGTAGTCTAGTCTACTCCAAGGATTCTCCAATGTACATGTACATAAAAATCACCTGGGGATCTTGTTAAAATGCAGATTCTGATTCAGTTGGACTGGTTTGGGACCTGTGATTCTGCATTTCTAACCAGTTGCCTGATAATGGTGATGCTCCTGATCAACAACCTCATGCTCAGTAGCAAGGCTACTGTTGTAGTTTGAAAACAACTCACAGTGACTCAGAAGGATATGGTGGGTAAAGCCAGTGAATTACGCAGAGTGGAAAGACTTTGATGCAATCATGATCTACAATCTGGTCCTCAGCTTTGAAATTTGATTGGTAGCATAACCAGAGTCTGGGCTCCTGGGAACTGACTCATAGTTAACCAAATTCACAAGAGACCAACATATGAGCCAGAATGCCAATTGATTAATTTATAATGAGAAGTATAACTTCCAAATGAACCAGATACTAGTGTTTGCTGATCAGTGCATTATCTCCCAGTAGGCATATTTACAAGAGGAGCTAAATGATAATAAGAAGGTTGCCTGGTGAGAATGAACTCAGAGCAGGGGGAGTTCACAGGATGGTTTTAATGGTTTGCATCATCAAGCTAAGATAGTCTGATTCCACAATTGGGCTAGACCTCCAGAATAGATCTGGGGATGCTAGCCTCTCCATTAGTCTCTTTGTCACCAGTCTTGTTCTCATGTAATCTGAATTATCTATATAAACCCAGATTTGATCATAATATTCATTTGCTCTGGTGGCTTCAATAAAAAATTATAATTTCAAACTCATTATTACAAAATTGTGAAATATACAGAAAAGTTGAAAACTAATACAATAAGCATCCATGTATCCACCACCAAGATCCAACAATCAGCCAAGCATGTTGGCGCACATCTGTAATCCCAGCAACTCATGAGGCTGAGGCAGGAGGATCATGAATTCAAAGCCAGCCTCAGCAACTTAGTGAGGTCCTAAGCAACTCATGGAGACCTGTCTCTAAATAAAATATACAAAAGGGCTGGGGATGTGGCTCAATGGTTGAACACCTCTGAGTTCAATTCCCAGTACTAAAAAATGAAAAAATCCAATAGTTAAATTTTGCCATATTTGCTTTAAGTATGTGTGTGCACATGTGACTCAACAGTTTTAATAGTTTCTAAACTCTTTGTGCTCTGGGCCAGCATACTTGAATAGCTTCACTTTTCTTGGTTCCCCTTTGGCAGCTTACATCCCTGCCATACCTCACCACTGAAAGTTAGTTCCCTGAATGTTCTCTGGTATTCTCATATAATATACTATTGCTTATGCCCAAATATCTTTACTCTCTTTGTTTTGATAACCCTTCTTGTTTCTAAAGACTCAGTCACATCTGTGTTGCCATAACATCCTCTGCTTTTCTCAATCATAACATTTATTACTCTGTACTGTTATTGTTTCATTACCTCTGTCTCTCTAAAGTGTGAACTCACTGAGAGCAAATACTGGTTTCTTTGTGTCCCTGCCTCTACAGTGCTTTGCACTTAGTAGGTGTTCAGTAATCAGACTATCCAACTGCCTAACACACAGTTTTACCCAGTCACATCATAGGCACCCTCAGATCAACATGCCTAAAGTAAACTCATGTCTCTTCCTACCCACTTTATACATTTAACCACCCCCAATACCTCAATTGAATGTCATCTAGTCTTCAGAGCTAAAGACCTCAGAGTACTCCCTAATTCTTCCATCTCTTTCTTCCCCCAAACCAACTCCTGTTGACTTTATCTCCAATATTCCACTTTTCTTCATCTCTATTACCTATTTAGTCCAGGCCACCTTCATCTCCCACCTGGAGCATAGCCAACAATCTTCTATCTGGGCTTCCTTCTGCTACTTGTGTCCCCTCCAATCAATTGTCAACAGTAAAGCCATAGTGATTTCTAAATTTCAAATCTGATATTTTTTCATATATATATATATATATATATATATATATATATTCATATGTGTATGTGTGTCCCTGATTATATTACATTTTGGTTCAGTATAAAGTACAAATTTCTAGCTTTACCCAAAGGACTGTCCAAAACTGGACCTTATGACCTCTCCAACTTTATCTCTTACTATCCTTCCTCTTGTAGTCTAGGTTCCAACCATTTTACAATTACAAGGCTTATTGTAATTGTACTTTCCCAACATTTTCTGTTTTATATCTCACTGCCTTTCCTTGTGTTGTTCTCTGCCTAGAAAGACTGACCCTTGCAGTACAGATGTAACCTCCTCTGGGATGCTTTCCCTTATTTCCCAGTCTGGGTTAAGTGACTCTTCTCTATTTCCCACTACTGCCCTATGCATACATCTATCATAATGTTTACATTATATGCATACAATTATCAATTTACTTGTCTTTTTCATCCAAATTAATCTAAGAGCTTTATGAGAGCACTTATTTGATTTTGTATCCCAATGTTTAGCCCCTAGGACATAACAGATATGCAATACATTTTGTTTAAGAAAATAATGAATGGATGCACATTAATAAATATTTTTTTCAAATTTCATTTTATATATTACTTTATAAAATACTTCTTTTCTTTTGAATACATTGTTTCTTCAAAGTACAATGTAGTTGATTGTCATCCAAGTAATATTGCTTGATTTAATTTTCAGTGTTTTTCATCAACAAATTCAGATAATTTCTGGAATTGTACCATTTCTTAGAGATGGTTTATTTTACTAATTTCTTTTCTTCTAGTTCATTTTAATCTCAGATGTTAATGTCATCCATAATTAGGGGTACTCTGCTACCTACCCTCCCTTGACCTCCAAAGTCCCTTTCAACTGTCATGGTTCATGTTTCACAAAATTGCCCATTTATTTATATTCTAGTTGCTGTTTGGTGTATGGTGATACTTTTCCTATAGCTTTCTCCAAAGTCATAAGAATATCAAGTGTAGAATTGTCCCATGCTTAACCTTTGGGAATAATATTAATTAAGTAAAGGCTGGGTCAGGGATTGAGGGAAGTGATTCATTGGGAATTTAACAAATGTCGGGGTAGGTTAAGAATATTATATTTCCTTAAACTAAAAAGTGGCTAAGACTGAATATCCTAAAAATAATTTTCTCTGATTATTGCCTCAATGTAACAACTTTATTTTAGATGTACTGTGTCCCTAAACCTGTTTGATAGTAATAGTTTTTAACATAGCATTTTACATTGTGCTAAGCACTATTCTAAATGCTTTACATGTATGAACTCAATTATTTGAACCACTGTATACATTAGGTCATTATTATTCCCATTTTACAGATGATGAGGAAATTGGGGCACAAAGAACTAAGTTACCCAGAATCAGAAGTTATTCATAGTGGCCAGACACAAGATGTATTAATTCAGCTTTAGTGCATATTATTGATTGCCTAGTAAATGTAATAATTGACACAGTAAATAGAAATTGTACACTTAACTAGGGATAAATCATAATGCAATAATGACATAGGTGAATTGGCCTAGATGGGTCAGACTCCTTTCTGTTAGTGGGAAAAGGAGAAAGGATGATGTAGTTAAGGTCATGAATGGTGCAGGGGTAAACTTGATTTATGGATGGGGAAGAAAAAAGGATTGGTTTTGAGGTATGTGAAAACAGTAATTCTTTTGTGAAGACCAATTTTACTTTTAGAAGAGGTATCTGATGCAGTACATTTAGTCTGGGGTAAGGATAGGAAGGAAGTACATACGTATGACGCCTGTTAGGAGAAGGAAAGGAGAAAGGTGCCATTTGAGGCCAGTAAAATTGGGTAACAAGAACTGGCTCATCCTCTCCAGCACCACCCACCTACCCAAATTCTCTTGACTACAACTCAGACCCATGGGATCTGCTTCTTTTTAGTAGTACTTTCACATTCTGGCTCCGTAATCTCAAAATGCCCTTTAGCAAATGTTTGGAGGGAAAGAGGTATTCCTGCAGTTCAAAACTGACTCGAATCCTATCAGAAAGATTGAATGTTTGCAGATTCTAGAGTCCCTCGCCTGTCCATTTTTCATAAAACGACGCGACACACCTGGCCACACAAGCTCAGAGCCCACTGTAATGCCTTCCTATCCTGTTACCCTTTTAAGAGGCGGATCCCGCAGTGTCCTTTCCTCCCGCCCAGCCACCTCTACCCCCAGTCGGCTGGGCGGAGCTTCATGCAAAAGCCCCAGAGCCCGACGCGGCCACAGCAGTAGCGAGAACTGGAGCTTTCTCGAGCTGCGTCTGCTGCGACCTCTTTACGGACGCTACGTGCCTCTAGGCTCAGACCTAGCTCACGGTGCATCAGTCCCACTTTGCCCGTCCCCCACCTGGATCGCACCTGGTCCAGGCCAGGGTCCTGCCAAGTGCCCAGAGAGTGCGTGCAAGGGGCCCTAGGGAACCGTGAAGCGCGCGCGCGCCATGGGGCCGCCACCCGGGGCCGGGGTCTCCTGCCGTGGTGGCTGCGGCTCTTCCAGATTGCTGGCATGGTGCTTCCTACTGGCTCTGAGTCCGCATGCCCCCGGCTCCCGGGGGGCCGAAGCTGTGTGGACCGCGTACCTCAACGTGTCCTGGCGGGTTCCGCACACAGGAGTGAACCGCACCGTGTGGGAGCTGAGCGAAGAGGGCGTGTACGGCCAGGACTCGCCGCTGGAGCCTGTGGCTGGGGTCCTGGTACCTCCCGACGGGCCCGGGGCGCTCAACGCCTGTAACCCGCACACGAATTTCACGGTGCCCACGGTTTGGGGAAGCACCGTTCAAGTCTCTTGGTTGGCCCTCATCCAACGTGGTGGGGGCTGCACCTTCGCAGACAAGATCCATCTGGCTTATGAGAGAGGGGCGTCTGGAGCTGTCATCTTTAACTTCCCGGGGACCCGCAATGAGGTCATCCCCATGTCTCACCCGGGTGAGTGCAGCTACTAAATTGCACCCCTTCAAACCTTTGCCATGGCCAGTTTCTCCTATTTTCCTCAGTGCCCTCCTTTCCCTATCCCCTTGTTCTGAAGGAAAATGGGTGCCCCCTTTGCCCCCGCTGAGTGGGGCAGGGTCCTCCTCCCCGAGATTCACCAGGCGTGGGGGTTGGGCGGAAAAAAATCCTTTAGAATTTGCCTCTCTGGTGGAAAAGGGTAAGACAAATGAGGTGCGGAGGTAGGCGAATTGAGGACTGTTTGCTCTCTTCGCATCGCCTTTTCCTGGTGTTTCACAAGGCTGCCTTGCCTTGGATTAAGTGGCGGTGGGCACTGGCTTTTAAACTACTATGGAGAAGATCATCTGGAAATCTCTTCCTCACTTTTTGCTGTACGACAGATTTCCTCGCCTCTCTTCTTATTTTTCTCTCCGTGTTTCCTAGGTATCAGGTACAAGAGTGTGTTACTGTGCCCTCTTAACCCCATTGAAATTTTGGTGGAAACTTTGCTTAGCTCTTGGGTTCTCTGCCCCATGGTCTTAGATCCCAAAAAGATTGTTGGTATCAGTGCTTTTATTTGTCTTTGAAAAATCTGATTTCAGTTATTGAGTTCCAAAACAGGTGATTAAAGTTACTGAGAAAGAAAGAGGTTTATTATTCATGAGGATAGCAAGGGCCTAGACTTTGTAAAGTAGTCCAGGTAGTTCTTAAATTTGTAGAGCTGGTGTAGGTTATTGTTTTTCCCCTTCAGTAATCCTTCCAGAAACTTCCCTATTTGTGATTAGGTAATAATACCTAATCACAAATATCCTATATGTATATAGTAATCCTAGACCCCAAAGGACAGATTAAAAAAAGGAGGAGAAAAAGGAAGAGACATGCAATAGTAGTATATGGTGGTGGTTAAAAGCTGGGCCTCAGATCAGACCTTGATTCAAATTTCTGCTCATTGCTTCCTAGTCTTCTGACCTTGGGCAACTTATTTGAAGTCTTTGAGTCTGGATGCACTCAACATTCGAATGGGAATGATTAATAAGGAAAAACTTATCTACAGGTTTGCCTTGAGAATAAAATGAAATAAAACTTGAGTCTAAGACAGTATAACAGATTATTCACTCTCAGTAAAGGTTAGCTGATATGGATTAGCCTTCTAGGAGTCACTGAAGAGATAAATCTGCTTATTTAACAGCTAGAGGATTTGTGTTTTTCTAAAAGCAGTATGATAGGATTTGCCTGGAAAGTTCTTATTGAGTGGCTGGGTGGAAACAGCACTAAACTGGAACTGAGAAGATTGAGTTCCTTTAGCCCCCTCTTTGCCTCTCTCAGCTTCATGACCTTGTACAAGTTACTCACGTGTCAGATGAAAACATAGAGGTGTAAAGGGTGGAGGCCAGTTTGACAGAGTGTGCAGAGATAAAAGTGAATTAAATGAACTCTAAGATCCCTTTTAGCTCTAAAAAGCTGTGATTCTTAGATTTAGCATGTTGATTATAGCAGCAAACTATATTTCTTTGGTTGATAATCCAACAATTAGAATGAAATTACATTTAAATTCCAGTAAAAGTGAATAATAAGTTTTATTAAATTTTAAATGCTTTACATTTCAGTTTTCTGTCTAAAACACAAGGGTTTGACTTTGTCTTCTCCAAATGGGATTCATTTGCATGAATGATTTGTAATTGAAGCGTATTCTTTTATTAGAGAGTTCCCACTTCGACTATTTTTCTTCCACTTCTGTTAAGGACATTTATCTGATAGTTTCAGGAGGCAATAAAATTACCTTTTGTTGAGCTCCTACTATGTGCTAGACATTATATATATATTTTACACTTTATTGAAAGGCAGTATGGTGTAGTAGGAAAAACATAAGCACTGGAAACCTAATTATGCCTATTGTGTTTCAGGATATCATGTATGAATAAAGCCCTAAATACTGATTGCTTAACTCCATTCACAAAGGTATTTTGATACTTTGAAAACTTATTATTATCTAAGATGATGGTGATAGCAAATATTGCCATTAAGCCAACTAACCAAAAAACTGGCAAATTACTTGGGGTTTAGAATCGCATTTCTCCCTTGAACTCCTGGAGAAACTACTTTTCAACATGGGTGGGGGGAAATTACTTTGCATTTCCTCCACTTGTGTTATTGAATATTTGTTTGCAAAGTGCTGTATTATTTATTCACTCCTAAGAGTAAACCTAGGGGTTCCTTTTAATGTCTGGTCAAAAATAATTTGTCTTGGATTGTAGTGGCAGAGAGGTAAGACTGAGGTTTAAGTATTAACTCGAGATATATTGTTGCAAGTTAAATAGGGGTCACCAAATGTGGAGAAGCCATTGCTGTCTTTTTTGTTTACAGAATCAATCTTTACCCACTCTCACAGGGGCCTGCACTTGAATTGTTTGTCCTTTGTTCCAGTTTGTGCTGAGTTTCCACACTCTCACTTATCACAATCCTTTGATCATGAAGATACATTTGTTTGAAGCAATAGAACTAACTGATTTAGAACAGTTGCTCCACATTTTTTGTATAGTAGAGAGAAACTCCACTGTGTAAGGTCAATAAATTTGGAAAACAAGGCTGTTTTTATGTATACCAAAATTTCATAAAAGGTAGTTGTGATGTAGCATCCACCCATGGAATTTCTGTGTTTCATTTTGATGGCAATGTATTCAGCAACTCTTGCTTCATACAGATAATTACAAATGATAGATATTCATTAACAGTTTGCCTTGGAATCTCTGGATATACATACATTTTTTCAGTCAAATGGATTCAGAAACCTGGAAGGAAATTTAGTTTCAAAGTTTAATTATTATTCAAAGTTCTTATCTTAAATATGAAAATCAGATTAAAAAGCAGCCAAAACTTAGAGTAAGCACTAAAGCCATCTAAAATGTAGATTGTCATGATCAGACACATTAAGCATGCTCTTGTTGTTGCGCAACTAACTGTTCTTACTCTGAGCAGATGGGCCTGAGCCTTGCCTGCTGTCTAATTGAGCACAGCCTCGGGGTTGAAGTGGTGTGTGTACTTGCTTGTACAATTTTCCTTGAGTCAACATGTGCAGGCATGAATTTATTGAAAGACCCATGCAAGATACAGCCTTTATAATCCATGACACATTTACAAGAATTTGAAACATATGCAAAGGGGTAGCCAGAGAAGCATTATTCCTAACGGCTGTTTAAAAAAAAAAAGTGAATGAACAGTGTAATTTAATGATTTGGCGGCCTCCAATGAGATACAGTTTTATATATAAAAGTTACTTATGAAAAAAAAAAAGAAAAAGAAAAACCAAACCAAAAAAAAAAAGTTACTTATTTGCATTGTTGAAAGATAGTAGAGCAGATTAGTTAAGGAATTGGGCTAATATATATAATAAGGGTTTAGTATTTTTAAATTTATAGGCCAATGATTTTCCTTCTCAGTTTTCTAATATATAAGATGGGCACAATAATAAAATTGCCTCATAAGGTTGCTAGGATTAAATGAGATAATGTAGATAAAGTGTCAGTGCAGTATCTGTCATATAGGAAGATACTATTTTTAATCACAGTTAAAATAGTTAAATGTATTTCAGAAAAAAATGAAAATTGCATCCTACATCAGAACGTAATTTGAAAATAAATACCTGGAGTACTTAAAGTCCACATTCCTCAAAGTCATAATGTGGACCATTTAGAAACAGGTTGAATAGACTGAATTTTTATAAAGAAAAAATTGGGGGGGGGCCCTTCTAGGTTTGTCATTCTTTTCTTATACAACTGCTTTTCCTTAAGTGACCAATCTTCTTTCCACTCACAAAGAACATTACACTTCTTTATCACTATCTGAGTCTCTTCTCAACTCTTACATTTAGCTTTTATTCTAGGACATTGACTTAGAACAGAACGTTTTTTACTATAGTAAGAGGCTCACAAGAGGATCAAAAGGGATTGGGTGGTGATGATTCACTCATGTCAAATAACATTCCCGAATCCATTTCCAGATGTATTCTTCTTGGTATCTCTGCAGTACTGTATTTAAAATTATTGGCCACTCCTTTGAAACTCTCCCAAGCAGTTTCTTCCTTCTGTGGCCTTTCTTTTTTTTTCTTTTTTCATTTCTGGTATTTTATTAAACCATTCATTTAACATTTCTCCTTTGCATTCCATACCCCTATTATTTCCCCCTTAAAAAAGTAGCTAGCTACCACATCCAGTTGATTCTATCACTTTCAATATTCTCACACATGTCCCATTCTCCCTTGCAACTGTTATCACCATACTTTCAGTTCCTTTGTTTTTTCATGGGGGAAAAATTTTTAGACTCCTATTTGGTCTCCTTGCTCCAGTCATTTTCTCCTTGTATACAGTTCTTCCTCCATATTGCCATTCAGAACACAGCTCTGATCACATAGGTACCATTACTCAAAGTTTAGACTACATTGCTCAGCTTATCATACAAGACTCTTAATTATCTGGTCACAAACTTCTCTCTTTATGTACCTCTTCTCTCATATTGTTCCCTAAACATTCTCTATCCTTTCCCATTATTATTACTTTGCTTGTACTTCTGCTGTTGCCTATACATCCCTTCTTTCAGTTGTACTTTTCAAAAATTCACCCATTCTTCAAAGTTCAAAACAAAACTTTCCTTGGCTTTCAAGCCTTTTTTTTTAATTTAAAAATTTTAGTTGTGTTTTATTTTAATTGAAACATAACAATTTACACACATTTATAGGTTGCAATATGAGGTGTTTCTATACAATTCTTTTTTTTCTCTCTTCCCACTACAGCTCACACACAAAACAAAGTGATCTTTTTGATCATAATGGCACTTGATCTCTTAGTGTACTTTATGCATTTTGCTGATAGTTACTTCTTTATTTTCTTCATTTTTAAAAAGAGAGAGAGAGAATTTTTTAATATTTACTTTTTAGTTTTCAGCAGACACAACATCTTTGTTTGTATGTGATGCTGAGGATCGAACCCGGGCTGCATGCATGCCAG